TAAATGAGCAACATGGGCTCCTGCCTGGCTTCCAACTGAGGGACTGAGGCGCTGCTGCTGTGGGTGAGGCAGAGCCTCTGCCCAGGGACTCTGCACACAGCTGCCCGAGGGAGTAAGCATATAACTAACAAGGGCTCTGTGTCCCACAGGCTGAATATTTTTTAGGGTCCTGGAGAGTTCACAGTCTGACTGCCTGGAGACGGGTCCTCTGCGTCGGTGTGTTCTCCTGGCCTGGCCTGCACAGGACGCTACCTGACAGCTCCCTACCACGTGTAGAATGTGAGGAGGGGCTAGCCTGTCTCCTTAATTTGATATGAGCCTGACTTCCCAGAACTTGATGTTAAACACTATGATATTCCTGTTCCTCACTCAACTATTACTTTTAATTAAAATTAAGAACTAATGACTCTAAAAATTAATTCATATAAACTATGAATTACATGAATCATATAAAAACGAGAAAGTCATCATCCCTCACGCACAGTCCAGCACTGTGGTTCCCATGTGCACGTGGCCTCACAGGGGCTGAAACCAGGGGAGCCTTCTCTACACGCTATCCTCAGGTCGGGCCTGCCTGCGGGACAGGCTGGGGGCAGGCAGAAGGCTGTGCAGGAAGTGGCCCCGCTCTGCAGCCAGTCCTAGTTGTAACCTGAAACCCAGGGTGGTGTACTCCCCCTTCTGCATGGAAAGTCACCAAATCAAAAACACCAGGAAATAGAAACTTCTAAGAAAAAGGAACGGTTGGTCGGGTGGCCCTCACCACTTCCAGTCCCAGCATCAGCGCTTCTTCCCACCACCAGCCTCACTGTCCAAGCCTTCTTCCCAGGATTTCCGTGGCACAAGCCAGGAGATGCACAAGGAGGAGTACGAAGTATCTGTGATGGGAGGTGGCCACACCTCTGCCTCCCAGACGACCACCGTGATCAACATGCCCAGAGACATCTCTGTGCCCGACCATGTGGTCTGGTCCCTGTTCAACACGCTCTTCATGAACTTCTGCTGCCTGGGCTTCATAGCCTTCGCCTACTCCGTGAAGGTGTGTGTGCTGAGGGGGGGCTGGGCAGTGGGAGGTGCAGGGGGAGAAAGTGCCTGGGAGGCTGACACTCCACCTGCACCTGGGGTGTGTGGGTCTGTGTGTGCTGGGGGAGCTGCTGTGGATCACCCCCTAAGGCTGGTGTGCATTGACCCTGTGTGCCCTCCTCTTTCTGGGTAAGTGAGGGGGCATTAGGGGATCTCCCAGGGCAGGACAGGAG